TATATATATAATGAAACAAAAGCAAGTCTCACATTAAATTCAGAAAAATGGATTGCCCTTAAACATCATGAACAAGACAATGATATTACTACCATCTCCTCTTTTGAACATGGCACTTGAGACTTTAACCAGAACAATTAGGGGAAAAAAGTCATATACAGGAAAAGAAGAAATCAAAGTATCATTATTTGTGTATAACATGATACCCAGTATAGAATCACCAAAGCATACCACCAAATAATGCAGAATTAATGATTAGTTCAGCAATGTAGAAGGAAAGAAGATAATCATACAAAAAACAGTAGCATTTGGTTGCACCAACAATGAATGGGATAAGAAGGAAATTATGAAAATAATACTATTTATATTAGCTGTTACAAAAAATGAAATATCCAGGAGTTAACTTAACCAAGAAAATGAAAGAACTCTACAAAGAATAGTACAGTACTCTGTAAAATGAGATTTAAGAGTACAGCATTGGGAAAATCAATATTGTACAAAGGGCCATACTCACAAGACCGTTATACAAATTAAAAGCAATCCCAATCATCATACCAATGGGACACTTTACTGATCTTGAAAAAAATAATCCTAAAACTAAAATGAAACCAGAAGAGTCTCAGAGTAGCAAAGGCATTTTTAGCTAACAAGAGGAAAACTGGAGGCACAGAAGTACCTGACTTCAAGTTATATTGACAAGCAATAGTTATAAAAATGGAACTTTGTGGGGAAAAGACCAATAAATGGAACAGAGCTGAGAATGCAGAAACTTCCTCCAGACACATTCAGCTATTTGATCTTCCACAAAAGGGCAAAAAGCATATGCTGGAAGAAAGACAGACTATTTAACAAAGGCCACTGGTGAAAATGTACAGAAGACTGTTACTAAATACTTAACTCTTGCCATATGCTAGATGAAAATCAAAATGAATGATAATCTAAACATTAAAAAATTAACTTACTAGAAGATAAATTGGATAAAATATGTAAAGAAACAGGTATAGTAAAGAATTTTCTAAACACAAACTCATTTGCACAAGGAACAACAGCAACTGTATAAATGGTTTGCTTCCTGTGTGAGATTGATTCGTAAGTATTTCTTTTTGGGGGGCATGTTATAGTGAAAAATGTGATAGCCTAATTTCTCCCCCAGTATGTTCATTGTTTGTGGACAAAAGTGCTACTCATGTTTGACTTTGTATCGTGCTAGGTTGCTGAATTTGTTAACTAAATCTACAAGACTCTTGGTGGAGTTTTAGGGGTCCTCTATGCAGAGTATCATGCCATCTGAATAATGATAATTTCACTTCTTATTTTCCAATCTTTATTCCTTTAATTTCCCTCTTTTGTGTAATTGCTTTGGCTAATGCCTCCAGAACTATATGAAAAGGAGTGGAGAATGTGGACATCCTTATTTTGTTCCTGACTGTAAAGTAAAGGCTTTCAGTTTTTGCCCATTTAGTATGATGTTGGCTCTTGGTTTCTCA